AAATATATTATAATTTGTTAGTGTATTATTCAAAATCGTAATATTGATTTGTAGTTTTTAGAAACAGAATTTTGATTGTTTTTGCTCACCCTAATTTATGGGATTTTTTATGTCAAGATAAGAAGGATTAAAAACAATATGTAAAATAGGAAACTTGATTTAAATTATAAATGCATTAATTACTACTTGATAAAATTAGAAGTTCATTAATTAAAGTTGACTTTTCTACCTACTATATCTAGTAAATAGGTTTCCTTTTAATATAAGTATAGATTACATATAAAATTTCTTTTTATTTATCACATAATTTTTTGTGTGCATTAATCTCGATTTGTATGTGTAAAATTGATAGCGTTTGCATTAGTTTCAATTTGTATTTGTAAAATTGATAAATTGTTAAGCGTACAAATTCTTTTTTATGGTAACAACTTAAAAAAATGATTGTAATTTTTGAAATATTGTGTAGTCAAATCTTCATATGGAAGTAACATCATAATTATGGTATCTTATAAATATTCTCTAAAACAACTTTAGCGTGTGATAATGTCTTTATGCTTATAATATTTTAGATACTTAAGCAAAATGTTCAGACATATTTTTTTTTACATATTCTATCTGTATGTACATATATATACTCACATAGACGTAACACATGTTATGTTTAATTATTTTTAGACATGTTTTCTTTACAAAATAGTTTAAAAATCTTACATGCACATTTATACTTATATAAAAAGACATTCTATTTACTAGAATTAGTAGTAAGAAAAGTCAAAGGTAATTAATGCATTCTAAGTATTTTATTTAATTATTTTAGTTAATTATTTTATCTCATAACACATTTTCAATACAACTTACCATGATTTTTCTATTGTGATTAAAGACCAAATTTTACGATTATTATTATTATTTTTATAAAGCACATATCATTTGTTAAAAAATGGTTTATATATATAATACACATCACAATACCATGGTAAGTGATTAAAATTTCAACTGACCAAAATGCCAATGATTTAAATTTGAATACACCTATGTGTTTGACCAAATGTGTGGATGATTTAAAATTGTGCCCATAAAAAATTATTTAAATTTGAACACACTAGAAATTTTATGTACTTTTTATTTATAAATATATTGAAAGTGGTATTTAATGGTTGTTATATAAACTAATTTAATATATTTGCAATGAATAAAAGTTTGAATGAATAATTTGTAATGTTATTCATAATGCTTGTGACTTATGAGACACGAACACATAACTCTATACATATTTGCCAGAGAGCGGTTTAATATTTTTCTAGACTTAACGTTGATTATAAGAGGTAGAAAATAGATAATAACGTTATTATTTTTTAGACTTAAACAAACAAAGCTGTGAAAATAACTCATTTAATATCTTGTTCCGTGCATCGCACGGGGTACGTAGTATTACTATTACTATTGTAATTTAAACTGATATAACAATATAGGTCTATCGCGGGCAAAAAA